GCTACCATTGACTTTCTTCACAGAACTATAAAAAAACACCATGAACTTCATATGGAACCAAAAGAGAGCCCCATAGCCGAGTCAATTCTAAGTATAAAGAACACAGCAGGAGGCATCACACTACCGGACTTCAAACAATACTACAAGGCTACAGTAACCAAAACACCATGGTACTGGTACCAAAATAGAGATATAGACGAATGGAACAGAGCAGAGGCATGGAGGCAACACAACATATCTACAACCATACAATCTTTGATAAACCTGACAAAAACAAGCAATTGGGAAAGGATTCCCTGTTTAATAAATGGTTTTGGGAAAACTGGCTAGCTATGTGCAGAAAGCAGAAACTGGACCCCTTCCTGACACCTCACACTAAAATTAACTCCAGATGGATTAAAGACTTAAACATAAGACTTGGCACCATAAAAACCCTAGAAGAAAATCTAGGCAAAACCATCCAGGATATAGGAGTAGGCAAGGACTTCATGAACAAAACACCAAAAGCATTGGCAACAAAAGCCAAAATAGACAAATGGGACCTAATCAAACTCCACAGCTTCTGCATGACAAAAGAAACAGTCACTAGAGTGAACCGGCAACCAACAGAATGGGAAAAAATCTTTGCGGTTTACCCGTCTGACAAAGGGCTGATATCCAGAATTTACAAAAATCAAACAAATTTACAGGAGAAAAACAAGCCCATTCAAAAATGGGCAAAGAATATGAACAATCATATGAAAAAATGCTCATCATCATTGGTCATTAGAGAGATGCAAATCAAAACCACATTGAGATACCATCTCATGCCAGTTAGAATGGCCATCATTAAAAAATCTGGAGACAACAGATGCTGGAGAGGATGTGGAGAAATAGGAACATTTTTACACTGCTGGTGGGAGTGTAAATTAGTTCAACCATTGTGGAAGTCAGTGTGGCAATTCCTCAAGGCCTTAGAAATGGCCTTCCATTTGACCCAGCAATCCCATTACTGGGTATATATCCAAAGGACTATAAATCGTTCTACTATAAGGACACATGTACACGAATTTTCATTGCAGCACTGTTTACAATAGCAAAGTCCTAGAACCAACCGAAATGCCCATCAATGATAGATTGGTCAGGGAAAATGTGGCACATATACATCATGGAATATTATGCAGCAATCAAAAACAATGAGTTCATGTCCTTTGTAGGGACATGGATGAATCTGGAGAACATCGTTCTCAGCAAACTGACACAAGAACAGAAAATGAAATACCGCATATTCTCACTCATAGGCGGGTGAGGAAAAATGAGAACACATGGACACAGGGTAGGGAGTACTAAACACTGGGGTCTATTGGGGGGAATAGTGGAGGGACAGCAGGATGGGGAGCTGGGGAGGGATAGCCTGGGGAGAAATGCCAAATGTGGGTGAAGGGGAGGAAGGCAGCGAAACACACTGCCGTGTGTGTACCTATGCAACTATCTTGCATGTTCTGCACATGTACCCCAAAACCTAAAATGCAATTTAAAAAAATAAAAACTGTTAAAACAATAATAATGGCTTTAAATGTTAACAGGACTTGAAATATGAGCCAGTAATACCATACATTTAGGAAGAGTGGAAATGGAGTTGAAATATTGTCAGGTTCTAACATTTAGAATAGGATACTAATTTTTAGTAGAGGATGGCAGTTCTCAAAGATGTATGTTACGACATCTGGGCTGAGCACTACAGTAAACTAAAAGATTCTATCACTTCCAAGCTGGATTGGGAAAGTGGAATAATAAAATGTAACTAATTCCAGTTAATAAGCAAAGAGAATAAGAAAAAAGAGAGAAATGTTTTGTTTTTTTGAAAGGCAAGGCAAATAGAAAGTACATACTAAGGTAATAGATATAAACCCAGATACCTCAGTAATTACGTTTTTACTGTACTACATGCTATAATTATAAGACAGTGATTTACCAGAGATTGACTGAATGAACCCATAATTACATGCTTTTAATCAAAGAGATTCCTAAAACACAAGAGTACAGATTGGGTGAAAATAAAAGGATAGAAAATATGTATACCATGGATGTGCTAACTAAAAACATGCTGGTAATATCAGACATAGTAGAATTTAATGTGAAACAGATGATTACAGATTAAAAGGCAGTTTTCATAATGATAAAAATGATATTTACCCTAGAGATATGACAGTTTTAAATTGGTAAGCAGTCAATAAATAAGACTCAGAATATAAAATGTGATAGCACTGAATGGCAGAACAGACAAATGCACCATTATAATAGGAAATTTGAACAGGTTGCTCTCAGTAAGTAAAATAGCAACCTGGAAAAAAAAAGCAGTAAGTTAAGATGCAATATTTTAATAATGCCATTAAGAAATTAAGGGACATATATAGAATACTAATACTGAATACCTTCAGAATATACATTCTTTAAGTACATATGATAAATTTCTGAAATTGATCAACTCAAAAAAGCAACTCTCAGAGATTATAAAATGATTGAAATCATTCAGATTATTTTCTTTGATGACAGTGAAAATTGTGCTAGAAATCAGTAACAAAAAGGTAACTAGAATATCTCCAGCTCTTTCTAAGTTAAGCAATATGCCTCTAAATGTTACTTACAGGTCAAAGAACTCACAATGAAAATTAGAAAATATTTTCAACTTATTAATAAAGAAAATAACATAAAAAGTTTGGCATTGCCACTAAGGTGATTCCTAAAGAGAAAGCTGTAATCTTAAGTGTATGTATTAAAAAAGAAAGTCAAAAAATAAGGCCGGGTGCGGTGGTTCACAGCCTATAATCCCAGCACTTTGGGAGGACGAGGCAGGTGGATCACGAGGTCAAGAGATCGAAACCATCCTGGTCAACAAGGTGAAACCCTGTCTCTACTAAAAATACAAAAATTAGCTGGCATGGTGGTGCATGCCTGTAGTTTCAGCTACTTGGGAGACTGAGGCAGGAGAATTGCTTGAACCCAGGAGGCGAAGGTTGGGGTGAGCCAGGATCACGCCATTGCACTCCAGCCTGGGTAACAACAGCGAAACTCCGTCTCAAAAAAAGAAATAATAATAATAATAATAATAATAATAATAATGATGTCTTAGAATTTGCTGAAGAGATTAGAAAAAGGACAGCAAATGAAACCCAAAATTATATAACACCTCGGGATCAGAGCACTCGGTGAGAGACAGCAAGCATTACAAACAGCAAGATTACACAACTGTTCCCCAAGTATTCCAGATACCGAAGCAAACAAAATTAAACTATGTATAGGTAGTCCTTCCTTTTTGTGAAATGCAATATGATAAAAATGACCTTGCAAGCAGAAACTGCAAAATTATCTTAGTAATCAATGGGGTATAATTATGATATGTCTATGACCTTTAAAAATTTTGTTTAGACTCTTAAAAACACTCTTAATGTTGGTTATAATTATATTGCTGGTAATAACTACATTTTTAACAACTAAGATACATCTCAGTGTTTCTTATATTTTAAAGTACAGTGTGCTGAATATTAATTTTACTATTTTTTCATTTCATTTTACAATCAATATAAAGGATTAGGATAATTGATTAGTTACCATCAGATAACTATAGGATGAAAATGATAGAATATTATGTCATTAAAATATATACAGAAAATTTTTTGGAATATTAGAGAATGCATATGTTTCAATAATGCAGTTAAAAAGACAGATTATAGCATTAACAATACAATATGTTTTTAGTCTATTTTTAATGGAAAGTAAAAATTGTGCTAGTGAATATATTACAGAGTTTTAAAAAAAGAAAATACGTTTTAGAATTAACAATGACTTTTTTCTCTAGGACTTGGGGAATCTTTTTTAAAACATGTTATATTTCTATATTGATAATTTTCTCTATTAGATAAATATTTTGTACAGGAAAAATAAATGTTTTTTACAACACTGTTAGATATTTAAAAATAAAAACTTTTGTGCTAACAGTACTTGTAAGTTTTTGTAATTAGAAAATAATTTGCAAGCTCTGTCCTTTCTTTAGAGAGTGATTACATTTTGGTTTCTAAAATGTTTATCTCCTTAGTTTCATTGTATTTGGTAAACTTTGTTTTCAATAAATACGTTCTGACATTAAGATTTAAGTTTTCTCATTTCAAAGGAGATTTGTAATATTAGTAGATCATTCACCTCAATGTTTTAGGTATATGGGTGTAGTTTATTTTGTAATTTTAACTTTGAATTATATTGACTATAAATATTTTATGTTTATAATTACATGAAATAAGAGTGTTTTCTGATAATATAAATTTTTTTCTCTTAAGTATGTATTACTTTAAATTAAAACAGTCACCCTTTTAAGTTGTCCTTCCTCTTTTTTTTTTTTATAGTTGTTTTAAAGCGTGAAATATCTGTAATTTACCTTAATGTTAAGATTAAAGTTGAATTTAGGGCTTTCAGTATTATTGTTGAGCTTATATAAGGATGTCCTGAAAAATAAAGCTTCTGATGACTTGGTTTTGTAACCAGCAACCATTTTATTCTCTTTGTTTGTTAACTAAAATTAGTAAGAAGTCCAGTGAGTTTTGTGAAATACACTGTAGAAAATAGCAAATAATTCTATAAGATTTAATATACAGTTTTCATTTAATTGACTGGATAAAACTGCTTAGATATTTTAGAATTTTCTCTAAATGGCTTGTTTTGTCATTTAATGAGGGATAATACCTGAATTTTGCTCTTTTGAAAAATTAAAATCTCTCTAGGACAAACTGAATCATGCTTGACTTAATTGTGATCAATTTAATGTATTTGAAATTGTGATATAAACTTTTTATTCCTATAGCACAATATTTAATGGTAATTAAACACTTCAGATGTTTTATTCGAAGTCTACTTAAAAATGGTTTCATGTGAAGAATTATTTTTGAACCAAATGTTTATTTAATTGGCCTCAATGCAGTAATTACTAAAATGAATTGACACTATCATGTTAACCATTTCTTTCAAAGGTTGCACAGTGAATTAAAAGATGCTGTTGAAAAACGATTGGAGGCCTTTCCCCCAGGCACAGAGATAGGAACTGATATATATGCAGATGATGAAACAGTCAGAAACCTTCAAGAACAATTGCAACTAGCCAATGAAGTGAGTGACATGTATTTGTGGTTTTTGGCCTCTTTTTTTTTTTTTTCTTTTTGTCAGAGATGTGTGCAGAGAAAGTGACATGTATTTTTAAAAATTATATTCTGAATTAACATACCTTTTAAAAATTCATGTTAATTATTATTTATGAATATCAGAATAACCAAATTGTATCATGATGATTTTCTACAGTTTACAAGAATGTTAGAGGTAGCAAAACTTTTAATAAACGCTCTCACTGTTATAAATGTACTTGCCAAATACCCTCACTGCTTGTTAGAAATGTGTTTAATTAAATCATAAAGCTTTTGACATAATTTTTTTTCTTATAGGAATTTTTTTTTCTTTTCCTGTTTTAAATTATACTTTAAGTTCTAGGATACATGTGCAGAACGTGAAGGTTTGTTACATAGGTGTACATGGGCCATGTGGTTTGCTGCACCCATCAACTCATCATCTACATTAGGTATTTTTCTTAATGCTATCTCTTCCCTAGACCCCCACCCCCGTGACAGGCCCTAGTATATGATGTTCCCCTCCCTGTGTCCATGTGTTCTCATTGCTCGACTCCCACTTACAAGTAAGAGCATGCGGTGCTTGGTATTCTGTTCCTGTATTAGCTTGCTGAAAATGATAGTTTCCAGCTTCATCCATGTGCCCTGCAAAGGACATGAATTCATCCTGCTTTATGGCTGCATAGTATTCCATGGTGTGTATGTGCCACATTTTTTTATCCAATCTATTATTGATGGGCATTTGGGTTGGTTCCGAGTCTTTGCTATTGTGATTAGTGCAGCAATAAACATATGTGTGTATGTGTTTTATAGTAGAATGACTTATAATTCTTTGGGTATATACCCAATAATGGGATTGCTGGGTCAAATGGTATTTCTGGTTCCAGATCCTTGAGGAATTGCCACACTGTCTTCCACAGTGGTTGAACTAATTTACACTCCCACCAGCAATGTAAAACTGTTCCTGTTTCTCCACATCCTCTCCAGCATCTGTTGTCTCCTGACTTCTTAATGATCACCATTCTAACTGGTGTGAGATGGTATCTCGTTTTGGTTTTGATTTGCATTTCTTTAATGACCAGTGATGATCAGCTTTTTTTCATATGTTTATTGGCCACATAAATAACTTCTTTTGAGAAGTGTCTATTCATATCCTTTGCCCACTGTTTGATGAGGTTGTTTTTTTCTTGTAAATTTGTTTAAGTTCCTTATATAGAGAATATTTTAATGTCAGTTTAAATTTTTAAAGGAAAAAAAATCAGTTATTCTCTAAATTTGTGTTTTTTGTTGTTCTTTTTTCTTGTCAAAGATTATATAAATAGTAATATATTTTATACTTCTTCTAGAATTTTTTTTTCTCCTTTTTCTCTCATAGTAATTAGAATCTTTGAGAAGCTATGTTAAATATATCCTGTTTTTCAACTGTAATTTTTTGTGAATTTTATACATAAGGGAATTTTATTTTAATTTACAATGTTATATCCCAAATGTTTTATATCAAGTTATGGGTTGAAATTTTCATTTTTCTACTTTACAGCTGTGTGATCGTAGAAAAATCTTTTGCACCTCAGTGTTCTCATTTATAAATGGGGGCTACAAATTCTAAATTACAATTTTGATTTGATAATTATCTGAAAATTCAGTTTATTTCTTGAAAATTTGGTTTTAAATTTATTTAGTTATGAAAATGATACTTTAGGTAAATCATAAAGGCTATATTTAGCTTGATAAGGAACATGTATTTAACACTAATTTTTTTTAATGTATGAATGGAAAGAATTTTTAAATGTGATGAAGGAAAGAAATGAAGAAAGCATGCTATTTGTTCTAGACTAGGAAAGATTTATAATTGATTGCATAGGAGTAAATAGAAATTAATTTAGGCTTATATGTCTAGTACATATGTAAGTTAATAAATTTGCCTGTTTATCCTTATCATTATCATCATTGCAGAACAGCATGACTGACAAATAAGAATTAAAATTATGTGCAAAAGGTTCTGGGTAGTATAAATATCTTGCTTTAGGAGCCAGTAGCAATAGCACAATACTAAATACCTAGCTTAATATTTTTAGTTTAAAATATTTTGTTCTATTGCAGTATGATTTGTAAAAATCTTTCTAGAAGTTGGTTTGGCAAGTAGAGCCTTAGAAATGTGGGCATTATTTGATCCAGCAATAAGATGATGACACCACATAGATTTTTATGAATGTGTTCTAAAGAACTGAATATAAAAATCTTTGAATAAATATTTTATTATAATTATTATAATGAAAAATTTGTGATAGTTTAAAAATCTTAAATATGGAATCATTTAAATTGTAGTTTGTCAAAATAGTAAGTTATATCATTAAAAAAATTATATATTGTACAGCATAATCACTTGACGACTTGTTGAAACATGGATTTCTGCTCTTTCCCCCCACCTCCACTCCAGTTTCTGATTCAATAAGTCTGGGATAGAGCTCATCTCTAACAGTTCCGAGGTATTGCTTATGATGCTGGTCCTTTGCGAAGGACTGCTCTAGGAGAATCTGTGTTGTGTAACTGCTAGTATAGATGATTTTTCTCATCAGACAGGTCTGGGGAAACAGTGGGTCATTTTGAGGTAGGAGGCATTTTTGTGACCATTCTACTGAAAAGAACATTTGAGTCTTAAGAAAATGAAGTGAATTATCCAGGACTATTTAGCCAGGAATTAGAGATCACACCCATATCTTTGACTCCAGATTCTGTATTTATCTACAAATTTTAAAAGCACTTATGAAATTTTTAATTTGCCTACAGTTTTTTTTTAAGTTTTAGACAAAACTTATCTATGGTGTTAGGAAGACAAGGAAATGTTATTTAGGGTGAAAAATGTAGTAATTGGAAGAGGTCACAAGAGGGGCATCTGGCTTCTAGGTGATGATAATAATGTTCTCCTTTGAGCTAGGTGCTGGTTACATGAGTGCACTTGCTTTAGAAAAATGTACGATTCATCTTCTGAATGCATGGTATACCTCAGCAGACTCCAAGGAGCCTTATGTTGTTGTGGGTTACATATCTATCAGTATTTATTGTATTACAAATTAAAACTGAGACTTAAAAAAAAAACAAAGTGAGAGCATAAACATGCCGTCCATTAGCCCACAGAACAAGGATGACATCACTTTAGAAAACTCCACTGTACATTTGTGAGAGAATGAGAGTGAAAAAGGCAAAAAATGTTAACATATTACTCTGAAGATAATTTTGACTTCAAGGACCTCGCAAAGTCTAAGAGTTCCTGTACCACACTTTGATAATACTGTATGCAAACAATAGTTAATGACCAGAGAAAATTCTCATTATAAAATGGCAAGTAAAAATAGTGTAGTACACACAGCACACTATATGGTCCCTAATTTTCTTAAAAGAATTTTAAAATTCTCCCCCAGAATCACATTTACAAATATGAATGCATTAATATTTAAGAAGATGATTGTATCTAGATGTTAGCAATATTTATTATCAGATGGTAATATTATAGGTGATTCTGATTTTCTCCTGTTTTTCTCTGTATTTTCCTAATTTTCCACAATGAAAATCTGTTACTTTTACAATCAGGAAAAAAATATTGTACTTTACCAGAGGGCAATTTTCTTCTTCATCAGTTTCTGGGAGTTACACTTTTGTGGAACAAAGAACATAGTTTAAAGCTGTATCTCTGTTAAGGATTTTAATTTTAGCTAAATCTGAGTAAAAACACAATTTCAAAATAAGGAACTTTATGTCTTTTGGTTTATTCTCTAAATTATTAATAATAAAACTTCATATCAAAAATATTACAACTATAATACCATCTTTACACAGTTGTATTTTTATTTTATGACTTTATAAGACTTATTCTATAAAAGAAAGTGATCCATTTGTACTATACAATAAATAGCCTGCTGATAATTTAATGAGTTATCAAATTTTTTTAATAGGAAAAAACTCAGGCTGTGGAACTCTGGCAAACTGTTTCTCAGGAGTTGGACAGACTACGCAAGCATTACCAGGAATATATGACTGAGACCCAAATACATGTATTTGAAAGTCAAAAACAAAAGGTAATCTTGGATTTTATTGTTTTCTTGTATATCAACAAGAAGTTACACTCTGAAGAAACTGTTTTAGAAGGGAGCACCTAAGACTCTACCCTCTAGCATTTGGAATTTCAACTCACTTTTATTTATGTTAATAATATATGGATCTTTGATGGTTACACTCTCGAACAGGTAAGATAGAGAACTGGGCAGTGTACATTTGGTTCTATAATGTTGTCAACAATGAAAGCTGAATTGAGTGCTAAAGAGCATCTATAACATTATTTTGTATAAATAGACTTCAAAGTTTTTATTTGCTTGATTTCCTACCTGACTTTTAAAACAAAACAAAACAAAACAAAACTGTTCATTAGTTTATGGCCAGTTAAGAAACCTACTTAAATACAGTGAGAACACTGTGTAAAATCAAATTGTTAATACCCTTAAATGTGACCTGTTACTAAATTAGGTATCAGCTTTGTCTACCATAAATTAATCAAAATAGAATTTTACGATAGGAAGGAAACTTACTGGTTATTAAAGATTTTTTTCTATCCAAAGCAAGAATCATTCTACACTCTTTCAAAGTAGACATCTAGCTTTAGCTTTTGCTTTACACGTCTATTGACAAGAGCTCATTATCTCACAAGACCATCCATTCCATTGGGAAATCTACCTCTTTTATTCTTCTGTTAGTTCTTTTATTGCTAGGTGCATTGTGCATTGAGCACTATAGAGGAATTCTAATTCTTACCTCTTTTCTATGTATTTTCAGAGGTAGCTCTTTAAATAAGTTGGTTATCATACCTCTCTTCAACTCTTGTTTACAGACTTTTCAAATTCTGGTTTATGAATATTCCTATTATCATAATTGTAATTGGAAATTTATACCTAAAGAAATTCCAAAAATACTTACATAATGTTGTGCAGTTTACAAAATGTGATTTTTCTGTGTGTGCTCTGGCTTAAAAAAAGTCCACATGTAATCAATCTGATTTGTTTGACTTTTCCCTTTGAGATTTAAAGATTATTTTTCATATTAAAGTTCTTAGAGTACTGTTTCCTCATTTAAGTCAATTAGCTAAGCCCACGAGGTTGGGTTTTTGTTTTGTTTTCACCTAAATATCATTCTTTTACAATAGCAGTATAGTTTGGTGGGTCCTTACACAAGACATTATAAATAACACTTCATTCTTTTTTCCCTGGTTATCTATTTAATTCTGTCATTCAGTATATTTATAGCCTCTCCCAGCTTCATGTCATCTGTACCAGTAATATTTAATAGAATCATAACAACTAATCAAACAATTTTTTAAATGTGAGGCATGAGAATTTTTTTTTAAAAGGATGGGTAGTAACTCCTGTGCCATGGTTTGTATACAGGTTTTGAGTAGCTTTGAAGGTGACCTTCCAACATTGGACAAGGTCTCTCTAGCATATGGAATTTCTAATCACTTATAATTGTTTATGATATATTTCTTTGAGTTTTAAAACAATATTTAATGATTGATTTCTAGAAATAATTATTTGACATAAAATAAACAGCTACATTAGTTTCAACATTGCCACTTTAATTCTTTAATCATTTTTTAAATTTCTTAGTTTTTCAACTACTAATTCACACAATAGTAGTAAGAAGAAACATTACTAATTTTATCTAAACTTAGGTATAATGATTTTAGACTTGATTTTAGTTTAATTTTAAATATGGGTTACAAATAATAAAATTGTATTTATATACTTCCCTGTCTTCCCCCACTGTAGGATCAGCTATTCAATTTTCAACAAATGACCAAGCGACTTCATGTTACTAATGAGAACATGGAAGTGGTAAGTGTACTTGCTTATATAAACTGGAAATTGTTCCTATAAATCATCGTATTTATTTATGTTAATGTAAATCAACAAGAAAGCATGTTGCATGGAATTAGATAGGCAGTATTCTCTTTTTCTTCTTCTTTCTCATTTGATAGCATGACACAGTTTACAATACCTTTTGGAGATCTAACATCTCTCTGAAATACGTCTTAATCTGGAAATCCTCTTAGAGTTCTTAGTAAGATCTCCTTGGACTAATCTAGACAGTGAGCTTTTCTTTTTTTTTTTTTTTGACACGGAGTTTCGCTCTTCTTACCCAGGCTGGAGTGCGATGGCATGATCTCAGCTCACTGCAACCTCCGCCTCCTGGGTTCAGGCAATTCTCCTGCCTCAGCCTCCTGAGTAGCTGGGATTACAGGCACCCACCACCATGCCCAGCTAATTTTTTGTATTTTTAGTAGAGACGGGGTTTCACCATGTTGACCAGGATGGTCTCGATCTCTCGACCTCGTGATCCACCCACCTCGGCCTCCCAAAGTGCTGGGATTACAGGCGTGAGCCACCGCGCCCGGCCCGACAGTGAGCTTTTCAAGTGTAGAGTACATGCTCAATATTTTTTATTTCATCTGACACACTGCCAGATATTTAATAAGAAAAGTGTAATTGTTTAATGAATTAATAGCTCATTTCCTTACACTTAGGAAACTAAGAACCATGTGTTGATATGGTACTCCTAAATTTCCCTATACGTTTTTCCTAAAATAAATAGAATTAGCCTTCCCAATTTTGCTCTTTACCTTCTTATTGTCTCCCTTTTGTTTTTGTTTTGTTTTTTACTTTCTTGGAATGTTATTTTTACCTCATTGTTGAGTAATAGAATTATGACCCTCCAGGTAATTCCTCCCTCTTTCCCTTCTTCATTTTTGCTTAGTTACTCTGCTAATTCTTGTTAGTACCTAATAAAAATGTCTTTATATAACAATGGAGTTGTCCCACCAAAAGTTATTCTACTTTAAAAATTTTTCTTTTTTAACCATGTAAAAAATTACTAAACCAATCTGTACCTATTCTGTTAACATTTGAAATGTCTAATCACTTACAGTTTCTGATAATATGTTATATTTCTTAGAGTTTTAAGATATTAGCACTCCAGAATAGAATGGTTACTGATTTCTATAATTAAGAAAGGCATTTTTAAATTTAATATATTTCTACATGGAATTCATGCTTTAACCTAGGATCATAATTATTCAGTACTTCTTCAGTATGCCTCCTAGAATTGGAATTATATCATCCTTTAATATATCATACCACAGAGTACCTATTTTATTATAACAACCAAAATGATTTTGATGAAAGTCATGGGGAAAGGATGTTTGTGTATTCCAAGAGAATATGTTAAAAATTTCTAAGGCAGAAGCATTCATGGTTTTAAGTCAAAGCTAAGAATAAACTGGATCCAAGAAAACTGATAAAGAAATAGCATGATGGATAAAAGAGAGTTTTATAAAAATATAGAAAAGACTATATAGACAAGATAAAAGTAAATGGTTGAAAGAAATTTTAAAATTTAACTTTCTCTTAATGTATTTAATGAATAGCAAACAAGACTGACAAATGTAAAGTAAACAAGCAAAGTGATAAGATCTTGTACATCTCAAAGAGCATTCAGAGCATAGTTATAGGGGTAAGTTTGAGTAAAGATCAAACTTGAAGAAGAGTACCCTTTAAAAATCAAGCAGTTTCCAACAAAATTTCTGATTACATGAATAAACTCATTAAATGAATAGATCCTTATAGATGTAGTAAATTGATGAATATGCAGTGAGTAAATAAAGTATCTTTCAATGTAATTTGACTAACATGATAGAGTATGATACCCTGGACACTCCTTCTCCCCATAAATTCACCAATTCAGCAACAGTTTCCTTTGTGACAAATCAGAAACTAATTGAAATGTTCTCACATCCTAGGGGATTAGAAAACCAGGCTCACCAAAGCTATCAGGGAGATTTGAGACCCTCTCTTGCTAGACACGCTGTCCCTAGTACAGTGCCATGTGATCAAAAAGAGACCCCTTAGATCCTAGCTTCACCCATGGGAAAAAGAGGATTAGGTATGTACATTCATCATCCCAACTTTTTTGAGGTCCCCAGAATACTGGCATCTATCTTGCCAGTCTTGAAGCTCACAGATCTAGCATAGTCTGGCCAACCAAGGGAGAATGGAGGCATTGGTTTGGACTGATAGATGAAATTGATCCTGTGCCCTTCTCAGCATAGAAGAAGCAGATGAAAACTCAGTTCTCAGCCTCCCCCTAGGAAGGGAAAAGGTTGATCCAGCACTGCAGCTTCTCTAGGGCAGCCCAGAGAAATAGCATTCATCTCACGAGTTTTGAAGCTCTAATAGGTCCAGCATGGGCTAGCCACATAGGGAAGTCCAGAGGTAGCAGATTGGGCTGATACATGCTATAGTTCCCTACCCCCAGCTCATCACAGAGCAAGCAGACAAAGCCACAGCTGCCAGCACCTCCCTGGGGAGGGAAGGCATTGGCAGAGGCCTGCTAAATCTATGGCCAGCTGATTGGTGGGGGTCTTCTCTTGTATGAGGCTAATCCATGAAGACTGGGAGAGGTGCCTGCTTTCTCTAATGCATGGATGTGAGCACAAAGTCAAGGAAAAATGAAGAACCAGCTAAAGATGTTCCATACAACGGAACCACATAAATCTCCAGAAACCAATCCTAATGAAAAGGAGTTATTATTTACCTGTTAGGGAATTAAAAATAACTCTCATGAATATGCTCACCACAGTTAAAACAACAATAAATGAGCAAAGTAAGAATTCCAAGAGAGAAAAAATGTTAAATACCACACAAATTATGGACCTAAAGAACACAATAACTGAATTTAAAATGGTGTTAGGACATCTAGATATTCATATTCAAAAAATGGTTTTGGCTCTTCTCTTACACAATACACAAAAATCAACCCAAAATTGATTAAAGACTTAAACCTAACACCTCTTACCTAGAAAGTTCCTAGAAGAAAACCTAGGGGATAAGTTCCATGGCATCAGTCTTGGTGATGATTTCATGGATATGACACCAAAAGCACAGACAGCAGGAACAAAAGTAATTAAGTGGGACAATATCAAACCAAAAAGTAAAAATTTTTGCACACCAAAAGAAATCAACAGGGTAAAAAGGGAACCTATGGAATGGGACAAAGTGTTTACAGATCATATATCCAATAAGGGAATAATCTCTAAAGTAGTTAAGAAATTTCTGTAACTTAATAGTAAACACACACACACACACACACACACACTGAAAAAAACCATATAACTTGATTTTAAAATGAGCCTAAGTACTTAGATATTTTTTCAAGGCAACAGGTACGTAAAGAAATGCCCAATGCTCGATGTCACTAAACATTAGAGAAATATAAATACTAAAACTACAATGAGGTATCAATCACCGATGAGGATGTGGAGAAATTGGAACCCTTGAACATTTTTGGTGGCATTGCAAAATGGTGTGTCTGCCATGAAACACAGTATAGAGTTTTCTCAAAAAAATAAAAATAAAACTACCATATGATCCAGAAATCCCACTTCTGAATGTGTTTATCCAAAAGTATTGAAATTAGGATCTTGAAGAGATATTAGCACTCCTGTGCTTATTGCAGCATATTCACATTAGTCAAAACATGAAAACAACCTAAATGACCATCAAAGAGGAATGGATTAAAATGTATAAACATACAGTGGAATGCTAGTCAGCCTTTAAAGAGAAGGAAATTATGCAATATGTGATAATAAACTTTGAGAGCATTAAGTGAAATAAGCCAGTCACAGAAAGACAAACACTGTATGATTTTACTTATACAAAGTATCTATAGTAGTCAGATTTATAGAAACAGAGATTGGAATGGTGACTACCAGGGCCTACGGGGAGAAGAAATGGGACTTGCTAATCAACACACATGAAGTTTCAGTCAAACAAGATGAAGAACCTCTAGAGATCTGTACAACATTGTGCCTGTAGTCAACAATAATGTATTATACACTTAAAACATTTTTAAAAAATGTATAACTCATGTAAGTATTCTTATTACAAATTGATCAAAATAAATATCTTTCAGCCAGGTGCAGTGGCTCACGCCATAATCCCAGCACTTTGGGAGGCTGAGGTGGGTGGATCACAAGATCAGGAGTTCAAGACCAGCCTGGCCAAGATAGTGAAACCCTGTCTCTACTAAAAATACAAAAATTAGCAGGGCGTGGTGGCAGGCGCCTGTAATCCTAGCTACTTGGGAGGCTGAGGCAGGAGAATTGCTTGAACCCAGGAGGCAGAGGTTGCAGTGAGCTGAGATCATGCCACTGCACTCCAGCCTGAACGACAGAGCAAGACCCCGTCTCAAAAATAAATAAATAATCTTTCTTTACCAGTGCAGATTAGTAATATGCAACCGATATAATGCTCTGGCATGAATGGTACATAGAAGTACATGTTTTTATTTATTATGCCTATAGATATATTGTGATTTCACATTTCCTATAGATTTGCTTTACTAAAATGTTATTTTTTTTAAGATTTGCTCTTTTCTATAATTTACTCAAAAATATTAATTGCATACTATCTTGCATGAAAATATATGTTCTCTAAGTTGCAAACACACATCATCCATAAAATCTGTTTCCTTGGTGAAACAGGCTGACATATGAAATAATCAGTGAATAAGGTGCTAAATAGATGATGGTTGAAAAGGATGCTTCTCTACACCTTCTTAAGTCTCCTAATTCTAGAATATTAACATAGTATGTAATTTTCTTTGTGATCTTAAATATAGAACAAGAATACCATATTCAGGTGCAGTTGTAGAGCTTCTACTAGGCTTGCCACCAAGTTAAGCACCTTGGTTTCCAGCACTAGATTCTTAAAATGCAGAATTTTAGCTTATACTTCTGTTAATTGCTCTATGTAATTTTTCTTTGAGGTGTTCCCAAATGGTCAAAAACACAAGGATTAATTATGCAAGTGCCAAGACAGTATATATAATACAACACTAGTTGTGCCTGTGATGTACTCAATCATGTGCCAGGGACTGGGTGTTCTGGGAAAAGCTGATCCTTTTAAAAGGCTCATATTTTAATCAGGAAAACATAAATTTTAAATATAATATTTTAACATTAAAAAAAGCACTGTAAAGGTACGTATTAAGTTTTATCAAAATGCGGAAAGGAAACAGTTAATTCTGCCTCAGAGTGATTAAACCACACATGGTATTGAGGAATGAATGCAGACAGAATGAGGACATCCCGAGCAGAGGAAAATAGTATGTTAAAAATAGGAAGTCAGTGACTTCAGATATAGATCATGAGAGTAGCACAATGAAAGCTACCTCACGGACTTTAGTTGGAGAAATGTAAGCATGTTATGTTGGGACAGGATTAAATCAAAACTATTAATATCAATCAGAAGCAACTATTAATATGTAAAGTAAAGGGATAAGGAATGTGTATCATCATGAATAAAACCAGCAGTTGTGGAAGAAAATTCCCTTAGGAAAAGTTGTTCTACATTTGGAAGACTACTTTATATTTTACTATGGATTTCTCCAGAAACTGACCTTCAGGAAAAAGTTCCAAAACATGTCATTTATTTAATAGGTAATACCAGGTAGCACCAGTAAGAAGGTGGGGAAGTGGTACCAAAGAGAAGAGAAGACAGCCAATAAAGGGCTTTTTAAAATTAAGCAAGTTAACACTGTGAGTAACTAAAACTTAATGAATTCTGAAAGACAGTGTAGAACAAGCCTCGGAGTTATCTCACCCATTCGAGAAGGGAGTTTGGTTTTTTATATACCAGTTTCCTTCATTTATGTCAGGCTGCTCAGAACAGTGTGGAAAATTAGTTCTGTAACATATATAGCTTTATGGACAGGTGGATAGATGAGCAAAAGAGATTCAGATGGCCAAAGAAAGCCTTAAGACAGGAATGCTGCTGTAGGTAGTCTGAAGTAAAGCAGGTATCTAATGACGTAGTAAAGGCAAGGAAAGAGGGCTAAGTTACGTTTAAACTCAGAAAATCTAATCGTTATCATAAATCTCACTAAATTTTTTTTCTGCTTGTATGTCTGATGTGTCATCTTTAAGGATACAGTTATTAAATATTCTAATACTGATTCTTTTTTTTCTTTTCTTGTGGCAGACTAACCAACAGTTTCTGAAAACAGTAACTGAACAAAGTGTGATAATCGAACAACTCCAAAAAAAACTTAGGTATTTTTAAAAACGGGTTTAATTATTTCATTGTCAATTATTTTTCTTCAAGGAAGCTGATGATGCCGTAATTGTCCCTATGGATGTTTTTTTTCCTTCCCTTTGTTAAGCTTCTGTCAATATCTTTTTGTGTGTATGATCTGTTAGGATGGGAAGAAACTGAAATCAAGATTATTAAGATGTACTCTACAGTGAGACCTCTAAATACACAGATGTTCAAGTCCTTTACATAAAATGGCATATTTCTATATAACCTATGCACATCTCCCCATAAACTTTAAATCATCTGATAACTTGTACAATGTAAATGCTATGTAAATAGATATAGACTATATTGTTTTAAATTTTGTATTTTGTATTTTTTTTTTTAATTTTTTATTGGATTTTAGGTTTTGGAGTACATGAGCAGAGCATGCAAGACAGTTGCGAAGGTACACACATGGCAGCGTGCTTTGCTTTTCTTCTCCCCTTCACCCACATTTGGCATTTCTCCCCAGGCTATCCCTCCCCACCTCCCCCTCCCACTGGCCCTCCCCTTTTCCCCCCAATAGACCCCACTGTTTAGTACTCCCCTTTCTGTGTCCATGTGTTCTCTTTTTTCATCACCAACCTATGAGTGAGAATATGCGGTGTTTCATTTTCTGTTCTTGTGTCAGTTTGCTGAGGATGACGTTCTCCAGATTGATCCATGTCCCTACAAACGACACAAACTCATCATTTCTGATTGCTGCATAATATTCCATGGTGTATATGTGCCACATTTTTCCAATCCTGTCTATTATCAATGGGCATTTGGGTTGATTCCAGGTTTTTGCTATTGTAAACAGTGCTGCAATGAACATTCGTGTACATGTGTCCTTATAGTAGAACGATTTATAGTCTTTTGGATATATACCCAGTAATGGGATTGCTGGGTCAAATGGAATTTCTATTTCTAAGGCCTTGAGGAATCGCCACACTGTCTTCCACAATGGTTGAACTAATTTACACTCCCACCAAGAGTGTAAAAGTGTTCCTCTTTCTCCACATCCTCTCCAGCATCTGTTGTCTCCAGATTTTTTAATGATTGCCATTCTAACTGGCGTGAGATGGTATCTCAATGTGGTTTTGATTTGCATCTCTCTGATGACCAGTGACGATGAGCATTTTTTCATATGACTGTTGGCCTCATATATGTCTTCTTTTGTAAAGTGTCTGTTCATATCCTTTGCCCACTTTTGAATGGGCTTGTTTGTTTTTTTCCTGTAAATCTGTTTGAGTTCTTTATAAATTCTGGATATCAGCCCTTTGTCAGATGGGTAGACTATGAAAATTTTTTCCCATTCTGTTGGTTGCCAATCCACTCTAGTGACCGTTTCCTTTGCCGTGCAGAAGCTGTGGAGTTTCATTAGGTCCCATTTGTCTATTTTGGCTTTTGTTGCCAATGCTTTTGGTGTTTTGTTCATGAAGTCCTTGCCTACTCCTATGTCCTGGATAGTTTTGCCTAGATTTCCTTCTAGGGTTTTTATGGTGCCAGGTCTTATGTTTAAGTCTTTAATCCATCTGGAGTTCATTTTAGTGTAAGGTGTCAGGAAGGGGTCCAGTTTCTGCTTTCTGCACATGGCTAGCCAGTTTTCCCAACACCATTTGTTAAACATGGAGTCCTTTCCCCATTGCTTGTTTTTGTCAGGTTTATCAAAGATTGTATAGTTGTATGTATGTTGTGTTGCCTCCGGTGCCTCTGTTTTGTTCCATTGGTCTATATCTCTGTTTTGGTACCAGTACCATGCTGTTTTGATTACTGTAGCCTTGTAGTATAGTTTGAAATCCGGTAGTGTGATGCCCCCCGCTGTGTTCTTTTTGCTTAGAATTGACTTGGCTATGCGGGCTCTCTTTTGGTTCCATATGAAGTTCATGGTGGTTTTTTCCAGTTCTGTGAAGAAAGTCAATGGTAGCTTGATGGGGATAGCGTTGATTCTGTAAATTACTTTGGGCAGTATAGCCATTTTCACGATATTAATTCTTCCTAACCATGAACATGGAATGTTTCTCCATCTGTTTGTGTCCTCTCTGATTTCGTTGAGCAGTGGTTTGTAGTTCTCCTTGAAGAGGTCTCTCACGTTCCTTGTGAGTTGTATTCCAAGGTATTTTATTCTTTTTGTAGCAATTGCGAATGGCAGTTCATTCTTGATTTGGCTTTCTTTCAGTCTGTTATTGGTGTAGACGAATGCTTGTGATTTTTGCACATTGATTTTATATCCTGAGACTTTACTGAATTTGCTTATCAGTTTCAGGAGTTTTTGGGCTGAGGCAATGGGGTCTTCTAGGTATACTATTATGTCATCTGCAAATAGAGACAATTTGGCTTCCACCTTTCCTATTTGAATACCCTTTATTTCTTTTTCTTGCCTGATTGCTCTGGCTAGAACTTCCAGTACTATATTGAATAGGAGTGGTGAGAGAGGGCATCCTTGTCTAGTGCCAGATTTCAAAGGGAATGCTTCCAGTTTTTGCCCATTCAGTATGATATTGGCTGTTGGTTTGTCATAAATAGCTTTTATTACTTTGAGATACGTTCCATCGATACCGAGTTTATTGAGGGTTTTTAGCATAAAGGGCTGTTGAATTTTGTCAAATGCCTTCTCTGCGTCAATTGAGATAATCATGTGGTTTTTGTTTTTGGTTCTGTTTATGTGGTGAATTATGTTGATACACTTGTGTATGTTGAACCAGCCTTGCATCCCCGGGATGAATCCTACTTGATCATGATGAATAAGATTTTTGATTTGCTGTTGCAATTGGCTTGCCAATATTTTATAGAAGATTTTTGCATCTATGTTCATCATGGATATTGGCCTGAAGTTTTCTTTTCTCGTTGGGTCTCTGCCGGGTTTTGGTATCAGAATGATGTTGGTCTCATAAAATGATCTGGGAAGGATTCCCTCTTTTTGGATTGTTTGAAATAGTTTTAGAAGGTATGGTACCAGCTTCTCCTTGTGTGTCTGGTAGAATTCGGCTGTGAACCCGTCTGGACCTGGGCTTTTTTTGTTTGGTAGGCTCTTAATTGCTGCCTCAACTTCAGACCTTGTTATTGGTCTATTCATAGTTTCAGCTTCCTCCTGGTTTAGGCTTGGGTGGACACAGGAGTCCAGGAATTTATCCATTTCTTCCAGGTTTACTAGTTTATGCACATAAAGTTGTTTGTAATATTCTCTGATGATGGTTTGAATTTCTGTGGAATCTGTGGTGATTTCCCCTTTATCATTCTTTATTGCATCTATTTGGTTGTTCTCTCTTCTATTTTTAATCAATCTGGCTAGTGGTCTGTCTATTTTGTTGATCTTTTCAAAAAACCAGCTCTTGGATTTATTGATTTTTTGAAGGGTTTTTCATGTCTCAATCTCCTTCAGCTCAGCTCTGATCTTAGTTATTTCTTGTCTTCTGCTGGGTTTTGAGTTTTTTTGATCTTGCTCCTCTAGCTCTTTCAATTTTGACGATAGGGTGTCAATTTTGGATCTCTCCATTCTCCTCATATGGGCACTTATTGCTATATACTTTCTTCTAGAGACTGCTTTAAATGTGTCCCAGAGGTTCTGGCACGTTGTGTCTTCGTTCTCATTGGTTTCGAAGAACTTCTTTATTTCTGCCTTCATTTCATTGTTTACCCAGTCAACATTCAAGAGCCAGTTGTTCAGTTTCCATGAAGCTTTGTGGTTCTGGGTCGGTTTCTGAATTCTGAGTTCTAACTTGATTGCACTATGGTCTGAGAGGCTGTTTGTTATGATTTCAGTTGTTTTGCATTTGCTGAGCAGTGCTTTACTTTCAATTATGTGGTCAATTTTAGAGTAGGTGTGATGTGGTGCTGAGAAGAATGTGTATTCTGTGGATTTGGGATGGAGAGTTCTGTAAATGTCTATCAGGTTTGCTTGCTCCAGGTCTGAGTTCAAGCCCTGGATATCCTTGTTGATTTTTTGTCTGGTTGATCTGTCTAGTATTGACAGTGGAGTGTTAAAGTCTCCCACTATTATTGTGTGGGAGTCTAAGTCCTTTTGTAAGTCATTAAGAACTTGCCTTATGTATCTGGGTGCTCCTGCATTGGGTTCATATATGTTTAGGATCGTTATCTCTTCTTGTTGTATCGATCCTTATACCATTATATAATGGCCTTCTTTGTTTCTTTTGATCTTTGTTGCTTTAAAGTCTATTTTATCAGAGATGAGAATTGCAACTCCTGCTTTTTTTTGCTTTCCATTAGCTTGGTAAATCTTCCTCCATCCCTTTATTTTGAGGCTTTGTGTATCCTTGCATGTGAGATGGGTTTCCTGTATATAGCACACTGATGGGTTTTGGATTTTTATCCAATTTGCCAGTCTGTGTCTTTTGATTGGTGCATTTAGTCCATTTACATTTAGGGTTAATATTGTTATGTGTGAATTTGATACTGCCATTTTGATGCTAAGTGGCTGTTTTGCCTGTTAGTTGTTGTAGATTCTTCATTATGTTGATGCTCTTTAGCATTCAGTGTGATTTTGGAATGGCTGGTACTGGTTGATCCTTTCTATGTGTAGTGCCTCTTTTAGGAGCTCTTGTAAAGCAGGCCTGGTGGTGACAAAATCTCTGAGTACTTGCTTGTTCGTAAAGGATTTTATTTTTCCTTCACTTCTGAAGCTCAGTTTGGCTGGATATGAAAATCTGGGTTGAAAGTTCTTTTCTTTAAGAATGTTGAATATTGGCCCCCACTCTCTTCTGGCTTGTAGTGTTTCTGCTGAGAGATCTGCTGTGAGTCTGGTGGGCTTCCCTTTGTGTGTGACCTGACCTTTCTCTCTGGCTGCCCTTAGTATTCTCTCCTTTATTTCAACCCTGTTGAATCTGACGATTATGTGCCTTGGGGTTACTCTTCTTGCGGAATATCTTTGTGGTGTTCTCTGTATTTCCTGCAATTGAGTTTTGGCCTGTCTTGCTAGGTGGGGGAAATTTTCCTGGATGATGTCCTGAAGAGTATTTTCCAGCTTGGATTCATT